GAAAGGTGGGATATCTAATCCCACGAGGGGGATGCCTCTGGGAGAACCATCAGCTGGGTAAGGGTAACCTTGCAGATTGCAGGTGTCCAGCAGATCCTGGCAGGAACATGCCCAGGTTGGCAGGTCTGCTGAAGCGTGACAAGGATGTGGGTGGTACCGACAAACTTGGCCATTTTGGCAGGTGAAAGTGGTACTAAGCCCAGTGTGGGATGCCACAAGAAAGCACATGGACTCTCTGTCCCACCTAGAGCACCCTTGGACCTGCCAACCCTGGGACATCCCCTCATGCCTCCTCTCTGCTTGGAAGGGGAAAGCAAAGAGGAAAAGGTGATCCCCTTCTCCTTAGCTGCAGGGTGGCTCCTTGCAGTGCCTGGTCAGTACCTCTCTCTCTTTGCATGCTTCTGTCTGTCCATCTCCATGCACTTTGGGTTTTTCCATCCTTTTCCTCAGAGGAAAACTCTCTGCACAAGGCAGTCTCAATCCTAAGTACAACCCTGAGTCACTGGCTGACTGTAGGACACAGAGACGTGCTGCTGATCCAGGCTGACTGTTCCTGCGTGAGCAGAGAGGACGTTTGCAGAAGTTGCCTCTCAGAGGAGCAGAACTGAAGCATCTCTAAAATTCAAGACTTAAACAAGCCTTTTGTGTCCTTGGCCAGGCAGGTATCCCAGGCAGGTTGAGTGTTTGCTGGACCGGGTGAAGCTTCTGAGCTCATCTGACTTCTCAGCATCTCTGAGTGACGTATCAGTGATATCACTGGCCTGGGTATGACTGTTACCATCTTGAGGAATATATTCCCAAAATGAGACAATATGAAGAGTTCTCACACTTGAAACTCATTTATTTAAAAATAAACAAATAAATAAAAAATCAGAGATTTCTGCTTTCTCAGACATCTGCTCCATCTTCCCTGACCCACCTCGATTGAGAATTTGTCAATAACTCAAATTTCCACACCTTCCCACAGCAGGGAATCCCCTCCTCTCTCCTTCTGCCTCTGTCTGAGAACTGATGTGGCTCTTCCAATGTCTTCTTGTCATTCCACCAATTATTCTTTCTCCTGAAAATATTATCATAACTTTTATTTAAGTAGGGCTTTTTTTTTTTCCCCTCCTCTTTTCAAAACTCCCTGGATTTGAGGTTTCCTTATTTGCCATCTTGCAAGGTGGATCAACTGCAGTTGCTTAAATTATGGGGCTTCAATTTTGCTCTATATGCTGTGGATGGAAGAAAAAAGGAAGGGTGTTCTGTCAGCTTTGTTTTAAATTAGTGACTTTTGTTAAAGGGGAGCTTGTGCTGTGAGTGACTCGTCTGGATTTAAAGGCAGAAGAAAAGAAACATAAATCTTATGATGAAGCAAGAAGACAAAATTGAACAAATGGCTTGGGCAGCAGCTCACCCCTTGAACAATTCTTTGCCCAGTCTTGAAAAGGAAGAAAATGTGCCATTATTTCAGGGTTTTTTTCCACAAACAGGGCTGTTTTGAGGCTCCATGTGAGACTTAAGTCATAACTTACAGCTTTGCACAGCAATCAGGATGTGGTATCAGGATGAAGATCTGCACCAAGACCTTGCAGAGGGCAGGAACTGTTGGGTTTCTTCCTGTTGTGCCTGTCTTGCTCTGTGTGTGGGTTGACAAAGGCTTCATCCGTAGTTTCAACCACCTCAGTCCAGGAAAACGCAGTTTGGATCAAGGTCCTCATTAAGGGCCAGGCACAGTGCTAGAGTCAGGGTTCCATGATGATGATGAGATACTGCAGATGGGTTTGGTACCTTGCTTGGGCTCCCCAGCCCTGAGAAACACTCCATGAGTCACGGGGTGGAAGCATCTTTGAGTGCTGATGAGGACAGAGCACATTTCCCAGCTCTTATCTCACCCTTCAGCATCCTCAGAGAGAGGAAAGGTGAGATGTTCCTGCCCAGTGCCCCTGAATGTGGAGAGATGTCATGTGAAAGCCTCAAAGTTGCCCCACACTTGACGAAGGTTCTTCCTTGCATCCTTGACTCAACTTCTGGATCCCTCCTGAACCAGTCACCAGGATGGCAGCCTTCCCTCACCAAAAAAAACCATCTTTTTTGGTTCTCATGTGGTGTAGGAGACTGGTAGTATGCTGGAAGTCTGACGGGGCCATAGCATTCTAGACATAGTTGCCTCCATCCCCAAGGAGGGGCAGACATGCATGGGCTGAGGACAGATGATGGCATACAGAGGACCTGTCATGGGGGAGAGAGGCCAGAGCACCATTCTGGATAGTTTCATCTTATTTGCCTGCCTTGCAAAACAAATTACCAGACCTGTTCTTGGAGAGCTGTACCTATCTTTGAAGCATCCTTGGCCTTCATTTTATCGTCCCAAAAAGCATTAAATGCTTGTTGGGGAGGCATCTTATCAGGCACATCTACTTGGAAAGGCTTGAAAGGCTCTTGTCACTCTTTTTCTTCATGTGTGCTTTGAATTTATAGCTCCTCATTGCCTGGAGAAACCCACTGAGCTGGGAAATGGATTAGAAAAGGAGATGATGCCTCGGTCCTGATGTCAATGTAGGTGTCACACCTGCGGCACAGCTCCCTCCTGCCAAGGTGCCCGCGGTCAGAGTGGGCACTGACTCATCGGCAGGCCCAGCCGTGCTGCTTTGCAGGAGCTGGTTCCCTGGTGTGATAAATGCTGCTTAAGTTGCAGGAGAGGCAGAAAGCCAAATCAGCACAAGGTGTCAGTACTGGAGGCAGAATCTGGTTTTCTTGGCTTCTAGGCTCAAAGCTGATCAACCAACCCACAGTGTTTTGGGATGAATCCACCACTCTGCTGTGTGTCAGCTTCCCCAGGCCCAAAATGAAATGATGGCTGGATCTGGGAGGAAACAGAGCTGTCATGGGTTTGCTCAGCATCAAACATCCTCAAAGCTCCTGAGGATGGTTTGCAGCCTTCATCATGGGTCAGCCAAGTACAGAGAGATGTGGGAACAGCAACTGTCACACCCCATGTCCAGGATGGCAGCACAGGAATGGGGACACTCAGTGCGTGGTGTTGGGGCCAGCAGAAAGGTGACAGCCCTGGGTTTGACCACAGTGGAGTTTCCAAGCCAGCCATGTCCATCAGGGAGCCGCGCAGCCGGTCCTTTGCAAACAGGGCCATGCCCTTGGAGGAGCAGAAAGCCTTGGGCAAAGATGCTTAGTTGGTATAAAGGCTAGAAAAGAACTTGGCTCTGAAACCACGGCAGCCTGCCACTTCCCGCTGTCCGAGAGGCATTGCATCAAATGATCTCCACGCACAAGGAAAGCTGAATGCTTTTGACAGCTAGCCATGCAGACTCCCCACGGACACTGCAAGCCAAGCCGGCTTTCTCACCGTCTCCCACAGCCCCCCCAGTTGTAAGCGTGAAACCAAGCTGGTGAATAATTCTGCTGATACACAGAAGAGAAAATCCTGTTCTCTCCTCCTGGGGCAGACTGGCAGGGCTAATGGGAGGAAGAGGCTGTGACAACTGGATTTTGTGGCTGGAGTCAGCAGATCTGGCTCCTGGGACACATGGGAACAGGCAGGGAGCAGGAGCCACTTTTGCACAGTCACTTCTCGGAGGCGAGCAGGGCTTCAAAGGAAAAATCCTTAGCAGGATGTTGCAACTTGGGAGGAGGAGGAAAAAAAACAAGCAAACAAAAAAACCCACAAGCTCTGCAGGGCTGGGAAATGCAGAGTCAAGGAATGAGGTTTCCAAAAAGCCTTCACTCGGTACTCACATCCCTGGGTGCAGACGAGGCAGCAATGCGAGCTGACGCTGGTGAATCCCGAGGGCGTTAAAACTCGGTGTGGTCAGCGGGTGCAAGCATGTCCAAGGCAGGGGATCTCCCTGCTGCGTGTCAGGATGGTGGCAGTGCCACTTAAAGCGGGTGCCAGCAGCCATGGGAAGGAGGGAGTCTCAGCCAGGCGCGTACAAGCACAGACACAGGCACAGAGAGAGGATCTGGGATTATCCAACAGCCTGACCGAGCTGTTCAGGTCCATCTTAAAACCCCTCTGGGATCCAGAGGCTGGGGCAGGAAGATGGATCTGGGAAATGGGTGAGCACGCATTGGGTTGAGTTCCTGGGATGTGCAGAATGGACCATCAAGCCCATGTGCTCGGTGGGGAGATGCCAAGAGCTTGTAGGGTGCTTGTCCCAAAAGGTGCAGCTCCCCCTTTCCCCCTAATGCTGACACTCAAGAGCAGCTCTGTAACTCCTTCTGCTGAGGATGGGGCAATGGAAAGCAGAGCACATGGTCACCTCCACACAGGGCCAGTCTTTTCCAGGTCAGCAAAGACCTCATGGCCATGTTTACGAGCCAGGCTGGTGGAGGAGGTGCCCAGCGTGTGTGGTTTTGCCCATGGCAGGCTCCTGACTGTCCTTCCCACTTCACGCCCTGCTTGAATCCCAGGTGACAGGAAACCTGGCAGCTCCCAGAGACCATCCGTGCCTGCTGGAGGCCGGGGGAGCTAAAAGCAGGCTCCAGGAGGGAAGTGGTTTGGAGGATGATGTTTGTCAGTGATGAGCACACAGCCATGCTGTGGGAGCTGTGTGGCAGCTGGAGCTGGCAGCCAAGGGCCTGTCCTGCTTGTTTTGGCTGACTTTAGAGACCTCTGGCTTTTCCTAGTAGCACTTGGATGGGCTGGTACTCAGGAGACCTGACCGGGCACATTCAGACAACGCTGAAAATATCTCCCTTGCAGGCAACAGAGGCAAAGGGGAGCCAGCAGCTGAGCTCCCCAAGAGACAGGGGACTGGGCTGCAGAGGGATGGTTGTTCTCTCTGGGCTTGCTGGCTGCCAGCCAAAAACGCGTCCTGTGGAGCCACCACAGTGGCATATTTAAGATGACCCCAGATGGGCACCAAGTCTCAGCTATGGATGGGATCAGAGGCTTGGTCTCCTCACTGTCTGCAGTGCAGGGTGTCCCAGCGGAACATGGGTTCATCCTTCCCCAACCCTTGTCCCCTAACCAATTGTGTTGGCTGTCATGGCAGGTACCTGGCAAAGCTGTCTTCAGTGGGGAGCATATCCGAGGAGGAGACCTGTGAGAAGCTGAAGGGCTTGATCCAGCGCCAGGTGCAGATGTGCAAGAGGAACCTGGAGGTGATGGACTCGGTGAGACGTGGAGCCCAGCTGGCCATTGAAGAGTGCCAGTACCAGTTCCGCAACCGACGCTGGAACTGCTCCACGCTGGACACCCTGCCCGTCTTTGGCAAGGTGGTAACACAAGGTGAGAGCCAGGAGGACACGTGCCTGGGGTGCTGCTGAGTGGGGGAATGGCTACGACAGCCATCTGGTGGGCTGCAGGCAGGTTTTGCTTGCTTGGCCCTGAGCCAGTGGATGGGGAGCGTAGGGAATGACGAGTAGGGAATGACCCAGTGTAGGACCTTGGGGCTGACGGGTCTTCCCTGGCCATTTCAGTGGGGCTCTTCTGACTGCATTGGGTGCAGCATATCCAGACCCTTGCTGTTCCTCAGCTGCTGGGTGCTTCAATTCCTTTTTCACACCCAGTGGGTGCCTGTTGCATGGAAGCATCAGCTCAGGGCATCCAGCGAGCCTGGACCTTTTACAAGGACACTCCAAGTTCAAGCAGGGCCCTACAGTCACCCTACGGTCTAATCATTGCCCTGCCAAGCCCAGGAGCTCCACTCCACAAAGCCACAGCTGCAGTGGGATGCTGGATTTATTCCGTCTCTTCCCCGGGCAGTGCCGAAGCGATGAGCTGCCAGGCTGGCGGCTGCTCTGGAGCGGAGCCGTCTGCGGGTGAGACCTTGGGTGGACACAGCCCTCTGCCGCTCGATGAGAGTAAAACACGGCTGGACCCTCCGAGGACATCGTCATCATCATCACCCGCCACCACCCAGCTGCCAGTCTTCATGGGGGGATTTATGGGCAGGGCAGCCCCCAGCCCTGCTGATCCCAGCTGCACACAGGCGTCCTGGAGGCACAGGGCTGTGATCAAACCAAGCAAGGATGCAGAGCATCGGGGTGAGGACACAGAGGGGAAAGCCCCTCTGCAACCCCTGGAGACCACCGAAGTGGTCCTTGCCTCTGCTCAGGTGCCACTGCCATCTCTGATGCACCATCTCGCTTCCCATCTCAGGACCCATAGACCAAATCCTCCCCCCCCCAGCTCCTTGTTTGACTTTCCTCCCCTCAACGCAGGGGTGAAGATCTCTTCTTGTGAAGGTTCAGGGACTGGAAATACCAGAAATACCAGAAACTAAAAGTCTTCTCTTTTTAGGCAGCCACAGCACAAACCGACCAACACGATCCTACTATTAACCTCGATTAACTTGGAGGCGGTTCAGTCCCTGTGCTGGCTGGGTCCTCCCCAGCCTCTGCCACCCAGGCCAGATTACAGCTGGGCCACCAAAGTCTGGGCTACGACCACCAAAGTAGCTGCCCTCTGTCCGACCGACAAGACAGGGTGATGTCTGCTCACAAGTCATCCCCCTTCTACCCCCAGCATGGGACTATCCCAAATGCCAACCCTCTTTGCTCGGAGACGGAGGGGCTGTGTCCAACCGACCTCGGAGGACAGTGGGGATTTGGGTGTTGCAAGAGCTGATCCCTGGCCACGCTGCCCTGTGTGTTTGTGCCCAGGGATGTCCCCTGACCTCCCAAAGTGGCTCTTCCTAACCATGTGGCACCACATAGGTAGACACAAGAATTGGGAAGGGACTGCACCCTGGGGACTGGCGTGGCTTTGTGAGGCACTTGGAAGCAGGGTGGGATTTTGCAGGGTAGTTTTGGAGGTGCTGGGAGCTACAGGACCCTGTGTGGGAGGATGGCAAGGATGTGCAGCTGCAGGGGATGTTCCTGGATGTGGAAAGCAGCCAATTATTTTGGATGCAGGAGGGATTACATGGCAGAAGTGCCCTGCAAACACCAGGCAAGACAGTCCCTCCATTGTAAGCTCTGGAGATCTCTCCCCATGTTGGCAATACAGCCTTTGCTTCACCCTCATTGCTGGTCCATCACATTCATGGTTTTCACCTTGTGGTGCAGCTCCCAGCTCCATCACTACAGCGAGACAGGGCTCTCACTGCTGCAAATGAGCTCCCAGCACCGAGGTGTCTCTGCTGAGAGTGGTCAAGGCTTGGCAGTAAGCAAAGAGCATCCCTGGGAGTGGGGAGGTTGTGCCCTGCATGGGGTACCCCATCTTGGGAGGAGGACATGGAGCAAAGGGCTTGACAGCTCTGCATATCATGTTTTTCTGAGAGACAGGTTTCAGACCAGCTTTTCAAGGAGTTTATGTGCAACACCAGCATTAGGAGGGAAGAGGAGCAGAGACACACAAGGGCCTTTGGCCACCTGGCTGCACCCCCTGCAGAAAGCCATCTCGCGTGCCTCAGACACGCTGCCAGGTTTCCCACCATCATTTGTGCTGTTGCAGGGACACGGGAGGCAGCATTTGTCTACGCCATCTCTTCGGCAGGAGTGGCCTTTGCAGTGACCCGAGCCTGCAGCAGCGGCGAGCTGGACAAGTGTGGCTGTGACCGCACGGTGCAGGGCGGCAGCCCGCAGGGTAAGCAGGCAACGGTGGGGTGGCTGAGCAGGGATGAAAAATGGGCCAAGCATGGAAATTCTGGAGCCATCCAGAAAGGAGGTGAAAGTTAGTGTAGATGAGTTCCTCAAAAAGGCATCTGGGAGCATCACCCATGGGGCATAGAAAGCATCTTGTCCATGTCACCCCAGGGCCACGCTCCCCAGCTTCCCCAGTCCCTCGGCAGCCCAGTCCAGTGGGTAGCAGGACAGAAGAGGAGCCAGGTCAAAGAGCAGGGTTGGAGAGGATGAGCAAGGCAGGCTGGCTGTAATGTGTCTCATCTGTGCTCTCTGCCTTTAGGCTTCCAGTGGTCGGGCTGCTCTGACAACATTGCCTATGGCGTGGCCTTCTCACAGTCCTTTGTCGACGTCCGGGAGAGGAGCAAAGGGGCTTCTTCCAACAGAGCGTTAATGAACCTCCACAACAACGAAGCAGGGAGGAAGGTAATGGCAAGGGGGGAACCTGGGCAACCAGTGTGGCTCTGCAGCATCACTTAAGACTCTTTGGCTGCATTTAATCTTGTCAACTTATGTGCATCAGCATCACTTTCTGCACAACCCTTCCAGACTCCGTACATCACACCCTTCTTGCTGGGTCCATCCCAATCTGACCGTCCCGTCTTGTGTCTCTTCCTCCAGGCGATCCTGAACAACATGCGGGTAGAGTGCAAGTGTCACGGTGTGTCAGGCTCCTGCGAGTTCAAGACGTGCTGGAAAGCCATGCCCCCCTTCCGCAAAGTGGGCAACGTCCTGAAGGAGAAATTTGATGGTGCCACGGAGGTCGAGCAGAGCGAGATCGGCTCCACCAAAGTGCTGGTGCCCAAAAACTCCCAGTTCAAGCCGCATACAGACGAGGACCTTGTCTATCTGGACTCCAGTCCTGACTTCTGTGACCATGACCTCAAGAACGGGGTGCTGGGCACCAGTGGCCGGCAGTGCAACAAGACCTCCAAGGCCATCGATGGCTGCGAGCTGATGTGCTGCGGCCGAGGTTTTCATACGGACGAAGTGGAGGTTGTGGAAAGGTGCAGCTGCAAATTCCACTGGTGCTGCTCCGTCAAGTGCAAACCCTGCCATCGGGTGGTGGAAATCCATACATGCCGGTGATGCATGGAGGGGAGCGCCCATCCATCCCCCTCTTTACTGACCCTGCTTCTCCCTTGCCCCACGGCCAGGACTGAGGAAGTAACCCAGACACTGCAGGGAGAGCACAGCTCTTTACAGAGACTGAGCCCCAGAGGAAAACAGATTTTAAAGAAAAAAAAATATTTAAAGTTTAAAAAAAAAAAAATCAATCATTGTTGGCTTTTTTTTAATTTTGTTTTCTTTGCTTTATTTATTGCTGAAGCCAGAGACCCTTGGTGTCCCGTGCCAGCAGGGACATGTCTGCTCTCAGCGGGTGGCAGGGACCTGTGTGATGCCTGCTCTCATCGGATGAGCTCCCGCTGACTCCGGAGCATTGCAAACGGGAGGTGTTTCAGCCGAGGCCAGTGTCAGGCACTCAGTATCTTCTCTTGCAGTTATTTTTATTTGTTTAAGGCATGTGCTGAGCATCCCAGAGCACTGCTTGCCTTGGCTGAGCTTTGGGAGAGGATGGAGCGCAGCCAGGTGCGTTGCAGAGTTGATAGTGACAGGGTGGGAATGTCCCCAGGAGTGAAGCTCTATCTGAGGAAAGTCCAGCCAGGGTGATCAGTGTGTGAGGGGAACGTGGGACACTCTCACATCTCCTTGTTGTGGGATGCTTGGTGGCCTCCTGGGCGTTGGATGGATTTTGGAACAGCTCCAACGGCTGCTCTGATTTACAGAAGCTCCTCAGCAGCTGCCCAGGGCTGTCGGAGGACGCAATGTTCCCACTGTGCTCCCCTTCCCCTTGCAAGCTTCTTCCTCCCCTCACTTCTCCGGCATCTTGCTGAGCTGGAGCCTGTGAAGAGAGTCCAGAGAGGCCGTGGTACCTGAAATCCAATGACTCTTCATGGAGCTGGGAGGAAATCCCAGGGGATTTCTTTTCTTCTAACCTATAATTGCTCCCCACCTTGCTCACCAGCCTCCCACAACCAGGTCTCCTCCTCTTCCTCAACATGCCTGTTCTCCACAGCTGGTCAGGGCTCTGGGGACAATCTCTGTCCCATTGGTTGCTGAGAAAAGCAGAAGTATAAAGTGAAGTATAAAAGTATAAATTGTTGGGGGTGGGGGCAAGATGCTGCTGGGGGGAAAGGCAAAGCTTGTGCTCTGCTGAGCCTGAGAGATGCTGCCATGTGTGTCTTCACCACCATGATTTAGTGTAGTAGGGCCCCAGCTGCCCCGTCTCACTCCCTGCAGACTGGCCTGGAGCGATGCCATGAGGATAACGCGCTGTCCTACCCGCTCCGGCTTCCCCTCCGCCTGGGATCAGGTTAGTGCCGAGTCCTTGCAGGACGAAATATTTGGAGAACTAATAAGCAGAGGGGCACTGTGAGGGGAGGTGGAAAGCAAATCAGTTCCTCTCTCCCTCACCCACTTGTCTGTGAGTTGAGAAGCAAAAGAGGAGCAGAGAAAAAAACCTCAGAATGGCACCTCGAGCCAACAGGAACATCTGCCTGCGGTGGGGTGGCATTTCTGAGCCCTCCTGTGCAAGTTGGGAGCTCCATCCATGGTCAAGAAAGCTCAGAGATGAGACCATCACCCTCTTTGCAAACCTGCAGGCTTGTTTTCCTTCCTTGCTTCATCTTGAGAGGGGAAAGGTTGGGGGGAACGCGCAGACATGCATTAAATCCCGTCTGTGCCGTGGCAGTGATGGGCTGGGGGAGAGTCTGTGGTCGCTGGAAGGTCTCCAGACACCGTCCGGCTGGAAGGCTGCTGACAACTGACTCGAAGCAGTGCAGGGTGAGGGAGGTTTGCATCGAGGCATCCCACCCATACCCCCCGGCTGCCTCTCTCCTGCCCCAGCTCCAAAAAAACCTTCAGCAAAGGTGATGAGGGGACTGACACCTCAGGGAGACCCCGAGGTGGAGCCACCATGGGTTGATCCTCTTCAACGCAAACCAGAGATCGCTTCACCAGAGCAGTGCAGAGCAGGGATTGCCTCTCTCAAAGGCTCAGCTGGTCCAGGATGCAGCACTAAATCCTCAGGGGGGGATCTAAGCTTCGCCCTTGCCTGGCTCCATCTCTTTAGTCCCTCAAGGCTGCAAGTTCTCAAGTACCTTGGAGACTGTTCCTCCTCTTCCCAGCTCATGCAGAGGAGGCCACAGACCTCAGGCCACTGGCCAAGTTTTCTGCTCGTTGTCCATCTAGGATGAGGGCCAAAGCTGAACAAGACAATCCAGATCAGTGTGGAGATAATCTCTGCGCAAGGGATTTTTTTTCAAGCTGCGATGAAAGCTGAGCCCTGTAAATGTCACCCGGAGATACCCCGGCTCCGCAGTGCTCTGGCTCTTCTCACAACTGTAAATTTCAGCACCAGAGATGGAGGGAAAAAAAAATGCCCTTTTTTCATATTTACTTTGTCTATTAAATAATGAGTTTGTGCTGAATGAGCCATGAGCATTTCTTCTCCTAGCAATCAGGCTCCACTGCGCTGTGTAAAACCAGCACGTGCTGCAAACACCTCATAGTCATTGGTCACCTCCCAAGAGTCCTCAGCCAGGAGGAGAAGTGCCTGGGTGGTACCTCTGGACAGTGTAAAGGGGACGCTAAGGTGGTCTTTCTCCCTCCTCCTGTCCCTCCCCGGGAGATGCTGGTGTTTGGACCACAGGCTGCATCCCTGTTTTCCCAGCAGTGGAAGGAGAGCTTGCTCACTCATCTTCTGCCTTAACCACTGGCTTAAGAGGTCACCCATCTTAGATCTCAGTAAGTCTGCAACTTCCTCCTGCCAAGAGGGCACTGATGTTCATCTGCTTAACACAATGCTCTCCTCCCCTGCCCAAAGCCAAGGGGCCACAGCTGCTACGTGTGCTGCAGGAGACACCTTGCCAGTGCGTTTGAGCTCGAGGTGTGTTTGAGCTTGGACTTGGCAAGAGCTGCCTGCAGATGCAGAGTCAGGGACCTGCCACCTCTTGCCTCCATCCCTGTGCTGTGACGTGCTGTATTTGGAGGGGATGGGGTGCCAGATGCCTGGCATGCTCCAAGCTGCCCCCAGCCAATGCATTTTGCTTGTCCCTTGTCTTTCCACAATCCCAGGACACTCAGCTGCATCCTTCTCACCCCTTTCTCTATGGTCTGGAGCTGCTTGCTTCAGCACAGGCTGTTGCTTCACTAATGCTCTGCCTTGTCTCCTTTGTAGTTGCAGTTCTCCATTTTTGTGCTCTCCAAGCTCACCTTTCCAGAGTTCATGGTAAAATCAATGACTTCTCTCACTTTGGCAGGGGTTGAGAACTGTTTCTCCAAGTTTAACTGTTGTTGCAGAAATAGGATGGTAAGAGAGTCCCAAACCTCCCCAAAACCCTTCCTTCAAACAGCTCCTCTCTTCCCTGGTGGATCCCACCCCACAACCTCCCAGTTCCATCCCTTCCCCTCCCCACTCTAGCTTCAGCCCCAGGTGAGGGGCAGTCTCCATTCCCCCACACCATCTCTCAGCATGGTGGTGAAATGCAGATGTGCTTCGCCCCTGTGCTGAAACAAGGTACAGGGAGATCACAGACTGGTTTGGGTTGGAAGGGACCTTAAAGCTCATCCAGTCCCAACCCCCCTGCCATCAGCAGGGACACCTTCCACTAGACCAGGTTGCTCAAAGCCTCATCCAGCCTGGCCGAGAACACTTCCAGGGAGGAGCAGCCACAGCTTCTCTGGCCAACCTGGGACACTGTCTCACCACCCTCACAAGAGAGAATTTCTTCCTCACATCTCATCTCAATCTACTCTTGTCCAGATTATAGCCATTACCGCTTGTCCTGCACAAGCTTCTCTGTGATTGTGGAGGGAGCAAGACGTTTGTGTCCTCCTCATCCAGTGCCCCCCACACACTGAGCCTGTCCCCTACATTCCCCATGCACCTGAGAACATCCCGCTAAGCCCCTCTCCACCACCACATCCCCCCACACACTCACCCTCATGCTGGCCCTGCAGGCTCAGCGCTCGGTCCTCCTCCTTGGCCCCTCAACACCCACTCTCTGGTGAGGTCACCTCTCCCCTGAGGACACACAGGCCAACCTCTCCACCCAGCCTCTCCCACTCGTAAACCTTCCTGACTTGAAGTCCCACTGCCAACTCGAGATCATCATGGCAATAACAGGACATCCCTTCCAAGTTCTCCCCACCCTGCTCCAGCAGATGGGTAACTCCATGATTTTTTCCCACCCCTAAAACTCCCAACTTCACCACCATCTTCTCCTCCTTCTTTTTTCTTCACCTTTTCTCCTGGAAAACCCACCCCATTTGCCATGTACCATCAACTCCATCTACGCCATGCTTCTCTGGGCTTCACATCTGCCACCTCTCCACCCTTCCATCTGAGCACAACACGGCCAAGCACATGGGCAGAGCTCCTATTTCTCTCCAGCTGTTTTGGCCGCATCACCCTTGTGCCCTTTATTGGCCATGAACACTTTCATCACTCCCAACTATCTCATCCTCCCTCCCTAGGCATGCTCAGCCTCACCCGCTGCTCTCCTCGCAGAGCAATTAAATCACCACGGGTGACACGATAGGGCTCGTGCAGAGGAGGAATCAGCACTCATGTCCTTTCCCTCCCTTACACCATCAGCAAACGTAACAGCAAATCCCTCTGCGTATTCCTGCAGCAGTGACCACAGTAGTTTTCCTGTATCTCCTGCTCTCCCATTACCCACGTGAATTTACCAGCTGGCTGCAGGGAAGCCAGGTGATGGAGAAAGCAGGAAACAAGAGCCTGGGACCACTGAGAAAAGATGCTTTAAGGATGGGATGGTGTCTCTCTGCGTGGGCAGGTGGCAGAAGATGAAGCTCCTTATAGCTGCCACATCATGGGAACTGGAAATGATGGATCTTACCTCAGTCTGGCATAAAAGCATCCACACTGGGGTGACCACTGGTCCCACCTACACATGCTGAAGATGTCAGCAGTGTCTTGGCCACCCAGGCACTGCTTCCATCAGTCCCCAAGCTGCAGCAGAAGGCCACGCTGAAGGACGCCCAGTGGAGCAGAGCCTTTGACAGCCGCATGATCCCGTGACAGCGGAAGGGCACCCAGCCAGCGCTCCTCAGAGAGGCCTCCCGACCCTGACTGCCAAAACCCTGCTTTAAGCACAGGAAAATAAATTGTACAACCTGCCTTAGACTGATCACAACACCCTGAGCAGGCGGAGGGGGAGGAAGGGACAGGAGCTGG